CAAAATGCAAAGAGGTTCTGTCTTTGAACTAGGGTCATAGATACTAATGTTTGCTCCTTTTTTTTTTTAATTTCATTACCATTGGTTACTGGGAGATTTAATTCTTACAACTATGTATCCTAAAGCTGTCTACCAAAATACGGAGAATTTTTTTTTCCTGCTTTAAGAAGGAAAAGAGGATTCAGAAGGTATTTTTATTGTGCCAGTGGTGGCTGGTCTTTCTGGAAGATGGTTTAGACTCACTTTATGCATATATAATAAGATGAGCATTTTCTGTGCAGCTGAAGAAAAGGAAGTTAGCTTTTTAATTAAATTATTTTTTCCTTAGGAAATCTGAACTACCTTTACCATTCCCTTAGTATGTAGCTTTATCTTAGCCGTGGGATATTTCTATCTTGAAAGTTCATGCTTTTTCGATTAAGGCTGAGTTATGTTTTGTATTATATATTTCAGGTTTTAGACTTTGGGAAAAAGAACAGTAATTTCTTGTTTCTGCTTGTTTATAGCAGGGAGCATATTACAGAATCTATTCTCAAGATTTCTATATTGAGTCAAAGTCAATCTATTCCCAGGGCTGCTAAGTTAAATTATTGGTGTGTATGCATCCAGTCAGGCATCAGAGCCAGAGAGCTTTGTCACTGTGCTGTTAGAGCGGTTGGTTTACTTGCCTAGGTTCCGGCTAGGTGGAACTTCTAGAGGACCATAATTAAGTCGTTTTGCCTGTGGTTTTTCAGCACCCAGCAGTGCTGGAAACTTTTTAGATTTTAATTTTAAGCTTTTAAAAAAATAAATAAATGACTGACATTGTCCCCTCGCCTCTAAACTAGAATTCAAATTTGTCACACCCATTACATAGAGACAGTGATAGTAACAGTGAGCCTTTAGCACTTTTAAAATTCTTGGAATTCCGCTACTTTTGTGCCTTCCTAATTGTTGTTCGTTGGGAAAAGGTCGGTTTCATCTGTGTTTGAGGGGCTAATTGGTCCATCTCCAATGAATAACCCCCTGTGGAGTGAGGGCGTGGCTATGTATCTGCTCTTTTGTCTTAGTAGACGGGGAGCTATGTGCTCAGTACCTCTGAGTTTCTAGGGCTCCGGTCTAGTACAGTGACCAGTGTGTAGGAGGTAACTTAGGACTTTAGTTTTCCTTTTAATGAATAGGGAGGTGGTCTTTTTCAGCTCTGTGAAGCTTACCTAATGCTACTAAGTGAGATTGATGGGCTGAGCTATGACCACATTTCTGGTGTCCTGACTCAAATGCCCAGTGCCCTTCCATAGATTGTACTGCTTATATTCTCTATTTAAAAATGTATTTCTTCACTTTTTTTGGGTTTCCATATTATTATTATCATTATTATTATTTTCTTTATTTGGGGTAACGGGGGAGATAAAGGGAGAAGTCATACCCAGCCTCCCAACCATCCCAAGTCCCCGATGTGGGGCATGCTCCGAGGGCACTGCTCAAGTGGTTTTGATAGTTCAGCAGTTCTGAATTGCTGCCAATCTTGCCATTCCAAGTACAAAGAAATCTCTCCAGAATCCACTGGCTGATATAGTTCACCTTAGAGTCTCTGTTTGCCCAGGTATTCACTGCCAACTCTTGACTGGAGTAGTTGATCGATTTGTTCTGTCTTCCGTCCTCTGTTGTGGTACTAGGTGTCCTGTGCAGGTTCCAATGTACTGCCATATCCTCCATGTGCACCTGGATATGCTGTCCACTGTTCCATATGAGCCTCTGAGGAGGCCCAGCTTTGACAATTGCACTCCATATTCAGAACGTGGAACCTGCACTTCTCTTTTCATGATTGGTGTTCTAAGAGCAGTAATTCAGTTGGAGGGATCCCCAAAGAAACTTCATCTGAGGTGATCCCAGACCAGATTTTTGTCCGAAGCCCCAGTCAGTTGATGCCTATGCTGGTGGTTGTAATTGCTGGGTCAGTACTGTTTCCAGCTTTGTCTTTCACATGAAGCAGTGGGAGTTGTAGTCCAGCCTGGTTCTTCTCACCTCACAGTTGGCCCTCACATAAACCAGTGGGAGCTGCAGCCTAGTCAAAGCGACTCACAATAAACCCCACCAGGCCCGTGCCCTGCCCTGTGCTTGCCAGTATGTATGGCAGACTGGTCTAATCTGTCCCACATTCCATTCAGCTCTCCTACATGTCAAAATTCAAAATTTCAAAATAAAAATTTAACAAAATAGTTTATAAAATGAATTAAAAACTGTGTGAAAAAATGGATTCTTATCTACTGAATTGTTTTTCATTGCTTTATATTTTTTGAGAGCTCTGTTCTCTACATATAATAGACAAATGTAGGCACCAAGTATGATTATAATTTAAATTATTTGTTGATTTAAATTTTCTTATCAATTCTATTAAATTTATACCTCTGTGTTTTTTTTTAAATTGTATTTTATCCAGTGAAGATACATTACAGTTACCATGAGAGAATTTCCACTTGTATAAATGTTTTCCATTTTGAAGTGAAATATACGCTCAGGGAATGAATTTATATCAGAAATGGCTAGAAAAGTTCTCAGGTACTCTTGAAATAAACTTCAAAAGAAGACTTAGACTCGAGGAAAAGATTTCATTTCTATTTTGGACTTCAGTTACAGTCATTTGAAACTCTTGTGCCTGGTATGTTATTTCTAGCTTGATAAATTTTAGAGCTGAAAAAATTTATGTTTAGAAGAAATCAAAAGGTGACATGAGTTTCTAAATCTGAAAGCTTCATGTTCCCTTCTTTGGCTTTCTTCTTGACTTGTTTTGTGTCAAAATTTAGAGGAAATGAGCTATTTGTCCATATGTCTATCTCTCTGCCCCTGAAATTAAAAAAAAAAAAAAAAAAAGAAGGGTCCCGAGATGATAGCAATGGGCAACAGCTAGAGAATGTGTGGCTGCAGGTTTTAGTCCTCACAATCGGGGCAAGAGTGCTTATTTTAAAAGTAGCTACGTATCACTGATTGAAGTTGAAGACTTGAAGCTTTTCATTGTTCGCTTGCTAGTCCAGTGCCTCAGCCTATGTCAGTCTATGTTGAAGTTGTCAAGGAGGCAGGCCCTTACTCTGTCTCATTCATTAAGTTGCTCCCAGTGCCTGCAGCTGTACCTGGTGCAGAATGAGGCCTCAAAAGTGTCTGCATTAATGCTTGAGACTGCTACAGTGCTCCAGCATACATTATTTGTAGTGTGATTTTTACAGAATTCCTGAGAAATGGTTTGGGCAAGCTACTTTTAGATGAGAAGACATACTCAGAGGCTTCCCTTGGGGATAAGTGAGTGATGGAGCCTGAGTCTAAAACCTGTATTTTTGTACTTCATGTCCAATTTTTCTCTTCATTTAATCAGATTGTTTGTTTTCTCTGTGTCTTAGGCAGCTGTAGGGGGAAGGAGAGGTTGGTGATAAGGGAAACATGGGTCAGACCGTGAGCACTTATCCTGCGGGAGATGACAAAGTGCTGTGCCACAGGACCCCTGTGGACGTGCTGCCTAGGTTTCTTAGTTCTGCCCTTGCTTGGCTGTGTGACCCTGGGCAAATAAATCCATCTGACTTTTCTGTCTCTTTACTTCTCATCTGTAAAGTTGAGATAATTTTGGTACTGTACTTTTAGGGTTATTATGAGGAGTGGATAAAAGGAATGAATAATTATAAAGGATGTGGGGCAGTGGCTGGCATATAGATAGATATAAGGCCTGTTAAGTGAATGGAAGGAGATGGATGATTCTGACAAGAGACCTTAGATAGTTATAAATCCACATGTAACTTCATGGTGGTAAGAAGCTGAGCTTGACTGTGGTTGCTTTTGCTGACTTGCTGTACTCTGTTGCTAGTTAACTAAACTGCACCACACTATCTGTTTTTCACCTGTTTGATTATCCTCTTCTGGAGCCACTGTTTAACCATGTTCATTTAAGTTCCATTCTTCCCCATCTCAGAACAACAGTTTTCCAAGAAATTTGCAATAATGAATTACTTACCATCTTTTCCCTCAGAATCTGGGTATAGCTCCTGCTATTCCCCCTCAGATCACAGACCCCCAAGATGTGCGTGCGCTGTGAGAGTTCAATGTTTGTTTAGATGTTCTGTTACTGTGTGCTTTATAATGTATGTTTTGAAGTAGTGATAGTTTTATTTTTTGTACAACTCTGTGTTGTACAAACATGCTCTCATTTATTGTTTGAAATGAATACATACACACCTTCCAGGGGATAGGCATTGCCAACTTGAGTGGATAGCTTTCCCAGAGTCATACACCTGATTAAAGGAAGAGCTGTTGTTAGCTTAGCATCTTCTTGTCTTTTCATGGAGAGCATCAGTTTTAGAATGTTAGTACCTGGAGGACAGCCTCTTGATTCCTGAGGGAGCACTGTAGAGACCCATGTACAACTGTACTTAGTAAGTCCAGTGTTGAAGAACATGGGGATTTTATATAATAGTAACTGTAATGCTGATTGACCAATTGATACTTGCCTTTCTAAAAAATTATCAGGTGAATAAATATATATTTTTAATTTAATCCTTTTTAAAAAGGTAGATTAATTGATGTAGAACACTCACATACGACCAACCACTCTTGCTTTTTCTAGTGTTGTGCCAGGGATCTAACCTGCCTTGTTTGCTTTTATGTGTCATGTTCACTCCAGATGGCAAGTACAGGTCATATATATATATATATATTTTTGTCCAGTAAATATTATTAAGACAACTAATAGGAACCTGGCGAAACTGTCCTGAAGCATGCTTTTCATAGGATCATTCATGTTTTCTTAGTAATATTAGTCCCAGGCATTTTGTGTTATTGACATTAAATTTAAACTCTGGATGATATTTTAATTCTTCTGGTCATTCCATAGCTTCCATGTTCGTAGAGTTGCTTATGCTGTTTTAAAATGCTAATACTAGAGTGCTTTTTTTTTTTTTAAGATTTTTTTTCTTTTTGTCCTCAAGTAGAATCATTTAATAAGTAACCCTTTACTTTGTCTTTTCTGTGTTTAATTGTAGTACCAGAAGAAAACATTGCAACTATGAAATATGGAGCCCAGGTTGTGAAAGGGGAGTTGAAATCTGCCTTATTAGATGGTGATACTCAAAATTACGATTTGGACCATGGATTTTCTAGGCACCCCATTGATGATGACTGCCGGTCTGGCATTGAGATTAAGCTGGGTCAGCCGTCTATTATCAATCACATACGAATCCTCCTGTGGGACCGGGACAGCCGGTGAGTCATCAGCTTGGCTTAGAAACTGACATTCTGTTTGAAAGAGGTGACCTCACTTTGTGGTTGTCTACTTTGGTTTTAGATTTAATGGTTTATTTGTTTGTGATGACTCTGCTATTTCTCTTGAAAGTTAGTTCTGAAGGAAGAATTAAAAGACATCCATTTAAAAAATAACTTGTAGTGATTTTCTGCTTAGAAAGGAAATTAATGTGTTTATTGTGGAAAATACAGAAGAGGACATAGAAGAAAATAAAAATTTCCAGTGGTGGATTTTTAGTTATGAATAAACACATATAAACAAGACATATAGACACATAGACAAAATAGTAGCAAGCCTATATATAATTTTACCAAGTGAAGCTGTGGAAAAGGAACACTTCACTTTTTAGTTAATATATTATGAACATCCTATCCTTTTAAATGTTACTGTTCATGAGTATTTACTTGATTTTTATTCTCTGTATTTCTAGTAATTTTTCGATGTGTTTGTCTTATGAATGTAGAAAACAATACTCTTCTAGTGTTGTGAGTGAATATCTTCAAAACAAAAAGAAATATTTGATGAAATGTGGTGGGTGTCTGCCTGGGGACCCAGCTAGTTTCTAGGTGGCTTCAGGCTTCTTCCTGCCTCCTGCTGTGATAGGCTGGCCAACTGCAGTCTCTGGAATCCCTCCATGATAGCACAAGTTCCAGAGCAGCATTGTGATCAAAACTGAGCTGTCTTCACTGCTGCTGCTTGTAGCCTAATCACTACATGCCCAGAGAGTAGGCCCTACTGCTGCCTCTTTGTGACTGGGCCTGAAGAGCTTAACAGGAATCATGATGATGTCCTGCAGGCCTGGCAGGGTAGTGCATGTCTCCCGTTACATTCGCTAGCTGTCCCCTGGCCATTTAGGCTGTTTGCATGCAGAGGAAAGCTTTTATAAATGGGAGCCTGCATTTCTCATGTCCCTTACATTCAATGTCCCAGTTTTCTCTTCCTGTTTTGTTTCATTAAGAATATATGCCCTACATGCATCTTATTGGCTAACTTTTCATGATTGACAAAGTGCCCTAAGTCACAAATCTCATTTCCAAGAGTCTGATTAGTAATAATAGTATGATAATGATACTTATGTAGCACTTTAGGACTGTTATGTGATAGTCACTGGTCTAAAAGCTTTCCATGTTTCACTCATTTGATAATGAAATTAGTGTAAAAATAATAAAATATGTTTTTCTATGATGTTAAATATTTATAGGCCACTTTTAGTATGTGCATCACATACATGGAAGACTTGACCACCTAACTGTTCTTTTCTCATAGAAATTGTTATCATCCTAAGCAAAGGTGAAAAATTCAGAATCTTGAGCCAAAAAGATTCTGACATGTTGTAAAATTATATCCTACATTACTGATAACCCAGAGAAGTTCAATAAAAGGTTATAACCAGTTTGAGACTGAACGATAAAAATGAATGGAAGAGAGGGGACAGCAGAAAATGAGGGGGTGACACAAAACAAGCTGACCTTTTCTGGTCACAACTGTGGGTTGCAGGCTGACATTTATGGCCACCTAAATCTTCCAAGATTGTTCCTGTTGATATTACAGTGCAAGTAATAACTGCATCTCCAATTTAAATTTGGCCTGTGACAGGGGAATATAGATTGGTTCATGATGGAACCAGCGTGTTATGGTCCAGGGTAGCTGACTAGGGGAGGATGATAGGCTAGTTTCATTACATCCAGATTATTAGCTGGCAGATTTCAACTTGTACCCAAAAGAAACACGTATTATGTTCCCTCAAATCATTTTTTTTTTCCCATGGGCAGCTTGTATATGTGGGATGCTAGGAGGACTAAGAGGTGGCAGCGAAGAAGTTGGCCTCTGTGGTGAATCATTGCAAGTTAGTTTTCCACTTAAGAGGTGGGGGCTGAATGCTTATTCAGGGCCGATGCAGAGAGAAGACACACCTCCTGCTTCTTTATTTTTCTATTCTCTCCTCTCCTGCATTTTTTTCTCTCTCTGTTTTTTTCCCCAAACTTGATTTTATTAGTCTGCTTAATACGGAATGAGTATGACGTTTGGGCTGTGTTTGAAAAGATACTGATGTCTTACAAGCCAGGTGTGTGCCAGTTTCTATGCTAGGCAATGGGGAGATGAAGAGGAAGATGGTCATGGTTGATGAGGCAGATAGACAAGGTGAGAGAGGATTTCAGTGTGCATTTAGAGGGATGGATACACTTTCATTGTCAGAATTTTCTTGTTAGGTAGAAAATTTAATTAGTGAGTTCTAAATTTTTGTACCCTTTAATGTTTTATTAAAGTATAACATTTTTTTTTAATTCTAATTTTTTTCCTGCATTTTCCCCTTTGGTTCTTATCAGGTCATACTCATACTTCATTGAGGTGTCAATGGATGAACTTGATTGGATCAGAGTGATAGATCATTCACAATATCTGTGTCGCTCTTGGCAAAAGTTGTATTTTCCAGCCCGTGTCTGCAGGTTAGTTTTGACTTTTATATGGGGATATCTGAACTTTGAGACACTGGCTGTGCTTTTTGCTTCAGAGAAGAACAATTTTTCAGGGTATCAATTTTACAGATATATCCCAAGTAAGAAATTCAGTTGGGGAGAAGGTGTTTGGCCTAGCAAATGAGATACTTGTGTCCTGTATCACAGTATCTGAATTTGATGTCCACTTCTAGCTTCTGACTCTGGCAGTCCTTACAATTCAGTGATGATAGTTTAGTTATTTGGGTTCCTGACCCCTATATAGGAGACCTGGATTGAGGTCTCAGCTCCCAGCTTCGACTCTGGCCCATGCATTTGTTGTGAATTTGTTGCCTTGTGAGTATTTGTTGAGTGAAGCAGTGTATAGAAGTGCTTTTCTCCTTCCCAAAAAAGGGTGGTTGGGGGATGGTCAGATTTTGCAGCTTTAATGTTTAGCATGCACTCTGGAACTATTTATCTTAATATTTATTGTGTACCATATTTATCTAGTAAAAATGTGAATGAGTAAGAATGGATAGGGAGTGGCTTGCATTGGATGCATAGGATTAAGCTGCTGCTTGTGATGCTGGCAACCCACATTAGGGAGCTGGTTTGAATCACAACTGTCCTACTTGCATGCAATTTCCTCTAATGTGTTGGGAAGGCAGTGGAAGATGACATAACTACTTCTGTCCCTGCCATCCAGGTGGAGGACCTGGGTAGAGGGAGTTCCTGGCTTCTAGTTTCAGCCTGATCCTAGACCTGGCTGTTGTGGACACTTGGGGAGTGAACCATCAGGTGGAAAGTCTGTTTCTCTGTCATTCTGCCTTACAAAAATATATCTTAACAAAATAAACAAAAGGGAGAGGAAATATGTGAAAAGTAGAGATGCATTTCTCATACTCCTCCCTTCCCCATTACCCCCTGTTGGGAAAGAAATGTTGATTTTGGCTTATAGTCTGGAAATTCACAGTTCAGAATTGGGTGTCCCCATTATGCCATCTGGTATGATGAAACAAGCACAGAGGAACCATCACTATGATTAGCCAGGGAGCAGAGAGAAAGAGAAACTATGCTGAACTCAGCTCAAATAACCAGCCTTCTCAAGACGACTGCCTCCCAATGACCTGAACTACCACTAGACTCACCTGTAGATACCATAACAAGATCAATTCTCCAGCCTCGATTAATCCTGAACATTAAAACTTCAGAGTTTAAACATTTACATGAGGTTTGGGGAGCTAAGTCCTATTCAGTCCTTAACATTCCACTTCTTCCCCCAAATTGATGTCTTTCTCACATTCAAAGTAAAATAACTCCATCTAAAAGTCTTAACTTTGCCTAGCATGAATCTAGAAGTCTTTAATCTAAGGTCTCATCTGATACTCAAAGTAAACTCTTAGCTGTGTATCCCTCTGTGCAATCAGAAAGCATTGTATGTATACTCAAGTAAGATACAGTGAAGAGACAAGTGTGTGAAGAGACAGAAATGCTCTTATTTCAAAAATATTTTTAAAAAATTGATTTATTTGAAACAGTTACAGAGAAGACAAATTTTTCTGTCCTCTAATTCACTCCCCAAATGGCCACAATGGCTGGAGCTGGGCTGGTCTGAAGCTGATAGTCAGGTGCTTCTTCCAGGTCTTCGATGTGGGTGCAGGGGTCCAAGCACTTGGACCATCCACTGCTGCTTTCCCAAGCCATTAGCAAAGAGCTGGCTTGGAAGTGGAGCAGGTAGTACTCAAACTACTGCCCATGTGGGATTTTGGCACTGCAAGCAGAGGCTTAGCTTGTTATATCAGTTCCATAAATGTTTTTAAAACTGATTTATGTTGAAAGTTGAGTTACCAATAAGAGGGTATATTTCTGGAGCCTTCCCTAGAAGTGTCCAAGGCCGGGTGAAGATTTTTGAATGCTGTTGTGTGTGTTCTGAGTATCTGTGTTCTTATTCTGCATCAATGGCTATCCAAAGAACAAGGGGGTTGGGCTTGGGCCAAGTGAGGCTTCACGAGTTGGGGCTGCAGCTGCAGGCTTGTACCCTCTTTCAACTAGAGCAGCTCAGCTTTTGTTATTACTATGGATTGCAGCCCCAAGTAAGAATGTTTTTAAAAGGTATCAAAAGCTACGGTTCTGATAGATTATATTCTGCCTTTAGGTATAAACCATCATTTTGACTTTGTTTTTGCAATTCTGAAAAACCTGTAAGAATTAATAAACTTGGTAGCTGGGAAATGTGGTTAAAGGCTCCTGAAATTTTTTGGCTCTTGTAGTTTTCCTGCTGGAAATTGCCCCTCAGATATTCTTTAAAGTCGGAAGATCAAAGACACAAAATGCTAGGTTCATTTAGTCAGGTGTTGCAGATAGAGAAGCCAGGGAGGATGTAAGCCAGGGAGAACCTTGAACCGATCCACAACCTTCCCCATCCTCACTTGTGATCTCAGCTGATTACCCCTTGTGACTAATTTGGAGCAGGCCGGGATGCCCCATAACACTCAGTCTCTTAGAAGTCATCTTAACACTTGTGAAATTCATGGTTTAACTTGTAGTTCAGTTCATACCTGTGCCACAGGACTCTAAAAAACCTTACATTCTTGCCTATATATATGTAGATATGTAGATACCTATACATATCTATATATTTTATCACAGGTATAACTGGTCACAATATGGTTTCCTAGGGATCCTCTTGTGGGAAAATGATGAAAAATCAATTTCATTTTTCCAATCAGGGACTAAATTGTCTCAGGTCTAGCAATTGCTGTTTTATCAGAGAAGTTTTGAATGGGTCAAAATGGTAGGGACAAGAAATTGAGTGAAGATTCTGAGTCTCTATGCTGCCAAGGGATTGCCAGAGAGTGACAGAGGGCCCTGATGAGGAGGGTAGGATAGAGCCTGTATTGCCTCTGGTTCTTTCAGTCACAGTGGGTTAGAAAAGAAGAAGCTGTGTGGACTGTAGGGTTGTGTGTGTAATTCACTTGAAGGGATAGAAATATGACCATCCAAATGATTGTGAATATCCATGGCAGCCATGGTAGTTTTACCCAGCCAAAAGCTCTAGTTGTGTGGAGGGAGACACTCACCTTCAAGTCTGACTTGGACAACGTGTTTCCCTTTATTATTTTCTCTTTCCTGTCTATCTTGGCTTTGTTGGGATACCATTCGTGTGTTTTGAGCCTAGTTGTACTCGTGCTAGTTTTTGTCTTTATATAGTCAATTGAGAAAAATTAAGTCAAGAATTGATAATACAGGAGTCTTGAGATCTACCATAGTGAGAAAATTTATGGCCACTTTATCTTATTAGTTTTTATTTTCTTTCATAAACTCTGCCTTTTGTAATTGCTTAGAATTTTGATCATATTTTAAAATGAGCATAACAGTAAGTCTCTATTGATCACCTAAGGATGCTTTGGTATTTCTTATCTTTACAATGATGTATTGATTACCTAAACAATGGTTCTGGAACTTTACTGGGTAAATAAATTCTCTACTTTATCTCTTTAGCACCTCAGTGTTGGCATTATGTTAGTTGATTTGCACATTTGCATACCATCTTTGTCCTTTAGCGTTCTTTGTGTGTTTGTCTTGCCTCTGGTTGAAATTACAAGCCCTTGGAGACAAAGTATATGGATTCTAATCTTTTAGTATTCTTGCCTGTTACTCAGCCAATGACCTTGTGTGAAGTAGGCATTCTATAAATGTTTGCTTGGGGTTCATGGCATTGACTGTAATGAAGAGATAAGATCTAATGTTAATATAGTCACTGGTAATTTCTTCAGTGTATTTACTAAAACATGAGTGTTGGAAAATTCTCTGAAGTGGTAGTGTTGTGCCGGATTTTGAAATCCCCAGAAAATCATCAAGTCTGAAGTCGGTGTTAAGGCATTAAGGTGGTTTATTCAGGTTAACCTGGGTCTCCCAGCCACCTCCCCCAGCCCAGCAGGGCTGGGCTGGGAGAGGGGCAGCCGCATCCGAGGCTGCTGCAGGGTCCGCATGGAAGGCAAAAAAGAGAGGAAACGGCGAGTGCGAGAGAGAGCCCCCTTGAATAGCCCAGCGTTCTTATACATTTCAGGCTATTAATTATACAGTAATGATTTAGCAGGCTTCTATTGGTGGATCTGAAGCAAGCAACTTTCAAAAAGTACAAATCGATGAGCTATAGGACAGTGAATCTTACCAAACACCAGGTACCTCCTTCCTGAGGAGTGGTCTGCCTACGTGACCTGCCAGGTGTCCTGCCGGTGTCCTGCCTGTGTCCCGTAGACTATCGGGAGTTCACACAGCCCCCAGCCAAGCCATTAAGGCAGAATTACAAAAGGTAGAAAACACCTAGGTTCTTCAGTAGAAGGTTCCATGTGCTTTTCAAAGATTCTTTTCTTGTTTTATTTCTTTTTCCAGGAAGTTGAATCTTTTGGCTAATCCTGAAAGCTATAATTGTCATGTGATGCTAAAAGGTTACATGTAATGCATTCACAGAAGAGGTCCTCTGTGAATTGGGGCATGTGAGGCCGAGCCAGACTAGCTAGAAACCAGCAAGACAGGAGTTGTGGAGTTAGTGTTCTCCTTTCCTGATTTCACCTCATACTTTTCTGTGGTAAAGTTGTGCTCCTCCTTGTCATGGTGTCTGCACCAGATGCCTTCCTCATAGGGTTGGCTATGAGAGGTGACAAGGCTTATTTACAAATTTTGAGTGCAGTGCCTACCCAGAAGTGTCAGTTCAGGAAGCAGTCATTGTTCTTGTCTCATTAGTCCTGGACAGAGCTGTTCTGAAACTGTGGCCTGGTAGCTGCCGCTGAGGATTGACCTTCCCTCACAATCCTCACTTTTTGTGATTTGCTGCATTGTCAGTCCAAGCATAGCACCCCAAAATTGCCTTAAACAGTTCTCTATACCTTAATAACTCATCTCTTAATAATCGAGCAGTTTTCATATATTTTTAGTATAATATTTATTTTGGCAAGATGCATATTATTGCATAAAATTTGTTGCTCATATGTCCTAAGGGATGTACTTTG